TTTACAAGAATTACATTGATATACTTTCTAGCACATTTTTAAAATCTGGAACTATATAAAGGAAAATGTAAAGTTCTTGTACAGAAGTGATCGTCCAAGCCGTTTGTTACGTATTTGCATATGTATAACAGTGTATTTCCATTTTGTAAAAATGACTTCATTGAAATATAACCTACAATACAGTACAATAATCTACATCCATTTTAAGTGTATAATTTCATGAGTTTGGCAGATGTACCTTCCTGTAAACCTCCGTCATAATCCAAGCAGAACCATTCCATTACCCCCAAAAGTGTGTTCACGCCCCTTTGCAGTCCAATGCTCCCTCCTCTAATCAGTTTTTTGTTACTATAGATTAATTTTTTTCTAGAAATTTATATAAATGGAATTATACAGTATATACATGTATCATCTTTTCTATCTAGTTTCTTTTACTCATCATTATGGATGTGAGATTCATCCATGTGGTTATATATACACATTATATATATATGCATATATATATATAAATTGTTCCCTTTTTATTGCTGAATTGTATTTAATTGTATGGTTACACTGGATAACGCACATTCTCTTCATCCATTTACCTGCTGAAACATTTGGGTTTTTTCTAGTTCTTTACTATTATGAATAAATCTGTTACAATCATTTGTCTACAAGTATTTGTGTAGATAGATGTTTTCATTTTGGGGGGCATAAACACCTAAGAGTATGTAATAGACTAGGCTTTCCAGAGGAGCAGAAGCAATAGGAGATGCAGGTTGAGCATATCTAATCTGAAAATCCAAAATCTGAAATGCTCCAAAATTCAAAACTTTATGAAATCTGATGTAATGCTCAAAGGTCATACTCAAAGGAAATGCTTATTGGACCTTGTGATGTGTGTGTGTGTGTGTGTGCACGCATGTGCAGGCTAATTTTTTCTAGTAAATATATATAAACATAAACATAAATTATAGAGATATGTGTGTATGTGTGTACATATATATTAATATGTGCTATAAGGAATTGGCTCGTGTGATTATTGGGACTGAGAAGTTCAAGATCTGCAGTTGTCAGGCTGGAAACTCAGGAGAGCCAAGGGTGTAAGTTCTAATCTGAGAAGACCCATGTCCAACTTTGAAGACAGGTGAGAAAGAATTCTTTATTACTCAGCTTTTAATTCTATTCAGACCTCCAACAAATCGAATGGGGCTCACCCACACTGGGGACAGCAATCTGCTTTACTCGGTGTACAGATTCAAATATTCTCATCCAGAAACACCCTCACAGATGCACTCAAAATAATACCTTACCAAATACCTGGGCAACCCAAGATCTGGTCAGCTTAACACATAAAATTAACCATCACAGAGTGGAATGGATGGGTCAGATGGTAGGTGTATGTTTGCCTTTTTAAGGAACTATAAAAATGTTTCCAAAGCAGGTGGACAATTTTACATTCCCCACCAGCAGCATATGAGAGGTATATTTCCTACACATTTTCCCAACACCTGATATAGTCAGTCTTTTTAATTTTAGTCATTCTAATAAGTGTGGAGTGTTATCTCATTGTGGTTTTAATTTGTATTTTCCTGATGAATAATGATGTTGAGCACATCTTCCTGTATCTGCTTGCTATCTGTATATGTCCTTTGGTAAAGTGTGTGTTCAGAGTTTTTGCCTGATTTTTAATTGTGTTGTTTCTTTTCTTATTATCGAGTTTTAATAGTTCTTTACATATTTTGGCTATAAGTCCTTTGTCATATATAGGCTTCAGAAATATTTTCTGCCAGTCTGCAGCTTCTCGTTTCATTCTCTTAATTCTGTCTCTCCAAGAACAGAAGTTTTCGATTTTGATGTAGTTCAATTTATCTTTTTTTTTAATTTTATGAGCTATGCTTTTGTTGTTGCATCTCAGAAATTTTTGCCTAACCCAGTGTAACAAAAATGTTCTCCTATGTTTTGTCTAGAAGTTTTATAGATTTACATTTTACATTTATGTATGAGATTCATTTTTAGTTAATTGTTGCATGTGAAGCAAGGTACAGATCGATGTTGGGGGTTTTTTGTATATAGATATGTAAATGTTCCAGCACCATTGTTGCAAAACTATCCTTTCTCTACTGAATTGCCTTGGCACTGTCAAAAATTAGTTGTCCATATATGTGAAAGTCTATTACTGGACTGTCTTCTGGACCTAATATCTGTGTCATTATCTCTTTGTCTGTCTTTGTGCCAATATCAAACTGTCTTGATTATTGAAGCCTTGCACTCTGCTTTGAAATCAGGTCATCTTAGTCCTCCAACTTTGTTCTTCTTTTTCAAAATTAATTTGCCTATTTTAGATGCTTTACATTCCTATGAACTTTAGAATTAGCTTGTCATTTCCTACAAAAACAAACAAATAAAAAAGCCTGTTGGGATTTTGAATTGGACTGCAATGAATCTATAGATCAATTTGGAGACAATCGATGTCTTAATAATATTAAATCTTTCACCCATGAACATGGTATTAGTATCTATTTATCCATCATCTATCTATAAACATTGTTAAAACAATCAAACACTGCTGATACATATACACATTTTTTGTTGTATGCTGACCATTTCATGTAGAAACAACAATAGTGACTGAGGCAAATAATACTGATGGCTATAAAATGGCAAAGCCCTGGCTCTGTCAGTCCCCTGTGATGAGAGACAGGGTCCATCTGATCTCTGTGTGGTTGGGCTGGGTCTGAGCTTTGTCGAAGCTTGTTGGAATTCAGTTCCTGACCGGTTTTAATATCTGAAAAGTAGGATCAGTACTTTTCTCTCAGTGTATCTTGGAATCCTAGAGACAGTAAGACTCTGGAAATTTCTCCAAGCTTCACATAGCCCAGCTCCCAACTTTCCAAACTGTGAGAGTTCTCTCTTTATGCCTTACAGCCCAGCTACCAACTTCTTGGGTTGCTGGGGCCTTTTCTTTGCCTAAACTCTGCCTTCGCATCTCAGAGCCTTGAGATAGCTCTTCCTCCAGCATTCAATAGGTGGCTACAATGTACTCAGTAAAGACCTTGTGTAGTGGGGTGGGGGTTGGGGTGAGGTGGGTGGGTAGGGTTGAGGGGATTGGAGAGTTGAAAGGGTTTTTGAGAGCATCTATTTCTCTCAGTTCTCCTGCTTTGCCTCTGGCTACTGCAGGCTGCTGCCTTGCATTTGGTGAAAGCCCCATGGTTTTTAGGAGGGGATTTATTTCACCTTTCCTGCCTTACCCCCAGTGTGTAATGGGGACTGCCTTGCAACGGATGAACTTCATATGCCTTGGAAAATCATTCTCACTTCTCCTGCCTAATTCCTGTGCTCAGTGGGCTACTTTCTTATACTTTGGGAAGACCTGGAGTACCTGGGGAGGGTATTTCTCAGTTCTCCTACCCTGGCACCAGCTTTCAGTGTACGACTCCCGTCCACTCCATGGACGTGGTGGCAAATGCCTGTGGTCCTAGCTACTTGGGAAGTTGAGGTGGGAGGATTGCTTGAGCCTGAGAGGTGGAGGTTGAGATTGCACCAGTACACTCCAGCCTAGGTGACAGAGAAAGACCTTGTCTCAACAACAACAACAACAACAACAAAACAAAACCCTGCAAGGAGTGAGGAAAGTGAGATTGGCAGAGGGAGAAGTTGAACCACAATGCAATTGCAGCAGAGGCTTCAGTCAAGCCCATGGGGAGCTCTGGAGCTGGGATCTCCCTTTAGAGTCGCCCTGAGTTGAGGCAGGAAGGCCAGATCTTCCTATTGAAGAAGGAATAGGGATTGTTTATGTACTAATAACTGTATTTGCTGTGCAAATATACTAGTTTGTATCTTGCTTTTTCACTATATGATTTCATTTATTGTGCAGAGGTATTTTTAAAATTTTAAGATATTCAAGTTCTTTTCTTTTTGTGATTTATATTTTAAAATCTTATTTAATAAATACTCCCTTACTCCAGTGTCATAAATGTCCTATCCCCTCTCCCAGCCAACGGTCAGTGGATGCTGATAGGGATGGTGTGTGACTTTGGGCAAGACTTATGGTCAAAGGGAATTCTCGGTGAGAGATTCAATTGGAAGCTATTCTAAGCTTACATCTCCAAATGAGGGAGCAAGTGCCTTGTCCTGAAGATCCGGTGGGCCACACCACAGTGTCTACCACCCAGAATGATCCGGTTAGTATTAATATAATATTTGTGTCATTTTATAAACACACAAAAAGCAATATGCTAGTTACGTCTATATTAATACATAAAAAATTGCAAACACTTGTATGGGAATTATACATCAATTTCACTATCATGGGTACTAATGAGGGAAAATGAAGGTAGAGACAGAGGTAGGGATGAGGTATCTGAGGCTTCAGCCATTCCTTTAATATTTATTCCAAGAAAGACGGGAGGAGGAGAGAGAGAATGAGAGAGAGTTAAAACAAACATGACAAAATGTGAAAACCAGTTCAATGTTACCATATGGTGAAGATAGGAATGTGTGATATTTTTATACTTTTCTATGTCTGAATACTTCATTATTTAACCCTAAAAGAAAATACTAGAGAATATGTCTCAGAGAAATAAGAACTTGAGCGTCATTCTGTTAGGCCTCAAGTGGTCACTGGGAGAGCAGAGATTGACGCTCTGTGAATAGGGCTCAGGGTCTTAACTGTAAAACAAATTAGATTATTTTAAGACTACCTCCAATTTGAAAGAAAGACTTCCAATTGTATGAATGTTTTGATAAAATCAGAATTGTTGGTCAATGAAAGCTTTAATTCTGTGAAGAGGGGAATAGTCCTCCAATTGGATCAGCTCTTTCGTTTTTACAATCAAGTGTCAACTTTGTTCTTAGCTGTATCTAAGGCATATAGACCACTTTCAGCAAGCACTCACTAGACTGACCAGCTATTATAAACTAGGCACTGTTCTAGGCACTCGAGATAAGACAGAAAACAAAGCAGAGTTTTTGAAAATTCTACTGTCCCTGTTAAAAGAATGAAAAGACAAGTCACAGAGTGGAAGAAAATATTTACAAAACACATCTGATAAAAGACTTACATCAAAAATATGCAGAGAACTCTTAAAACAGCATTAAGAAAGCAAACGACGCAACTTAAAAATGGGCAAAAGATCAAAACAGAAACTTCACTAAAGGTGGCGAGGATGTGGAGCAGCAGGAACTCTTATTCATTGCTGGTAGGAGTGCAAAATGGTACAGCAACTTTGGAAAACAGTCTAGCAGTTTCTCACAAGCTAAGCGTAGTCTTACCATACAATCCAGCAATTACAATCTTTGGTATCTATCCAAACGAGTTGAAAATGTGTGTCCACAAAAAAACCCTGCACACAAATGTTTATAGCAGCTTTATTCGTCGTTATCAAAACTTAGAGGCAACAAAGATGGCTTCAGTACGTGAATGAATAGCTAAACTGTGGTATATCCAGACAGTATAATATTATGTGGTAATGAAAAGAAATTAGCTGTCAAGCCACAAAAAGATGTGGAGGAAACTTAAAGGCATATTGCTAAATGAAAGAAGCCTGTCTGAAAAAACAACATGCTGTATGATTCCAACTGTAAGACATTCTACAAAAGGCAAAACTATAGAGACGGTGAAAAGATCAGAAGTTGCTAGTGGTTCAGGGATGGAGGGAGGAGGGATGAATAGGTGGAGCATAGGGGATTTTTTAGGATCATCTATATGAACCTATAGTATGGATACATGACATTATACATTTGTCAAAACCCATAAGACTGTACGAAACAAAGAGTAAACTTAAGTTAATGATGCATAAAGATTGGTTCATCAATTGTAGAAAATGTACCACACTAATGCAAGATATTAATAATAAGGGAAATTTAGGGGGGTTAGGGTGAGATGGGAAAGGGCATATAAGGAAACTCTATGTACTTTCTACTCAATTTTTCTCTAAAACTAAAAGTGATCTAAAAAATAAAGTCTACTAATTAAAAAAACAAGAATCCTTGTCTTCATGGAGCTTATACAATGGTTGGGGGAAATAAGTAATGTGTTTATAAAAGATTAAAATACTAATACATTCCATGGAGGAAGGAAAAAAGCAGAGAAGGCCAATAGAGAGGAGGGAGTTGCCATTTTAATTGGATGGCATGAAGGCTTCCATGAGAAAGGACATTTAAGAATCAATAAAAAATTCAAAATGCTTCCACTGGATGGGCACGCCAGACCTCATTTTCAATGAAACATCTGTCAGAGGCTCAGGAAAACACTAGTGAAAGGGTAGATTAGATGACAACACTTAACCCTTGATCAATGTTAACAGTTCTAAAAATGGGACCACAAGACCTCATGTGCCGCCTGATGGAATGCAATCGGAAGCACATGATACTACCTATGGAGTATTTGCCAAAATAAATGCATCTGAATCTAAGCAAGCTTCACACTCAGGCAGCAAGCTTATGAAAAATACAAAGGAACAAGTTATTAGATTAATGGGTTGGTTGATCTAATGCGATCAGCAAAATCTGGCATGCCGGAAGTTCTACAGGACAAATGAATCAATATCTTCAACAAACAAAAAAATGACTAAAAGTGGGGAAGTGGGAACTCTCATAGATTAGAAAATACCTAAGAGACATTTCAGCCAAATGCAATTTGTGGACTTTATTCTGTGATTTCAAAAGGACTGTAAAATATTTATATTTGAGAAAATCGGGGACATTTGAACATGGACTGCATAATAGGTGAAATAATAGAATTAATGTTAATTTTGTCAGATGTGATAATGGAATGGTGGATTTGTGGCTTTTAAAAATCCTCATCTGTTAGATTTATATACTACTGACATAATTATGGATAAAAACAATATGATATCAAAAACAGTGAATAATAGATAAAACAAGATGGACAACTGGGGCTGGACCTGTGCTTGGTGGGTCCTTGGTGTACCTGGTGGGTCCTGAGCACCACCCTGGTGGTTCTAGGTGTGCCCTGTCAAATTCCTGAAAACTCCTCTTATAAATGTGCAAATATTTATAATCAGGTTTTTTTTTTTAAATAAAAAAGTCTAACATTCTATGGTGACATTATGTGTAAAAAATTCCTTTGGATCAGTTATGTGAAATATTTTTTAAAACCAAGAAAAACACAATGTTAAAAATTGTTGAATTTGAATATTGTGTAAATGGGGTTTATTATACTGTCTTTTTACTTTTGGATGTTTGAGAATTTCCTTAGTAGAACAATTTTGAAAGTCCAGGAATACTAAGAGATATTAGAAAAATAAAAGTGACAGTCTAAGACTGATTTTCAAGGTGTTTTGTTTTGGATTAAAGACAATTTCTTTTAAAAGTCAATTATGTGCAAGTCAAATATGCACAACAGATACATTTGGAACTACCTGACTGTGATGGAGTCACTCTTCTCCCCTCTGCCCCCAGAGATACAGCACATACAGTTTGAAATTCGTTCAACTAAGGTAACAATTTTCATTGTCTACTAAGTCAATGACTCTCGGTCTTTTGGAATATGCTGGATACTTTCTAGTATTTACTGGAATACTTGAGTAGCAAATACATTCTAGTATTTACTAGAACTTGGAGTAGCACAATTCAAAAGATTCAATAAATTAAGAATACACCAAACAAATCAACAATAATTGCACTATAGCTGACTAACAATATCTCCTGGTATCCATAAAAGACATTGCCAATGAATACACTATTTGGTTTCCCTAACACAGTGCCACAGTGTCACACAGTTTGTACTCAAACAATTTGAGTACAATTCTTTACTGTTCTGAATGCCTGTCTTTTATGTTTACGGCAGTCCCAGTGTGTTCCAGTCTTTCTTACTTTCCCTGTAACTTGACATTACTTCTTTCTTAGTGACTCTCTTCAACACAGTGTCACATAATATGATCATTCCAGTCTTCTACACAAACAAAAAGTTCAAAATGAGAGCAAACATAACGTTTACACATTGATAAAAATGTGGTATCATGAATAGTCCATTAGTTGGATGTGTTAATAGATTTGATCATCTGAAAGCTATATACCTGGATTTATCTCCCCAGATATACCTTATTTATCATCCTAAATACACCATGAAGACCTAAAAGAAATATGAGCTAACATTATGCTCTAAATATAATTTTTTGACATAAGATATTACAGAATAAAAATTGTTTGCATCGTTTTTGAAAATCACTATGGAAGATGTTGTCCACTGAATGACTCCTGTAAACCTATTTTAGTATCATAGTACAGTTTACACACAGGAGAATGTTTGCTTCCTTTTGTTTATAAATGATAAGTTTCTCTGTGTTACCTTGACTTTCACATATGTGAGAGCTAAACTGAAGCTACCATAATTAATTTAGGTTTTCTTACACAACAAACCCTGCTCATTTCCATCCCATCCCGCTTTATTTAATGATTCTATTTATGTATTTGTTGTGGACATCTTTTATTTTGTCCCCCCAGCCCAAACACTCCCTCTTTTGGTAGCAGCAGCACCTTCTTTTAGATAAACCCTTCTCCCCACCTGTCCCAACCCAACCTTATCATTTTATTAATGCAGTCAACCTCTGCCTTCTGCCACTCTCAGACCATTGCCATGGTGTTTGCCAAAGGCCAGAGTCTTTGACTAGCATTATTTCAAATTGAAATCAAGGAACTATTGAAGGAGGCATCTTCTTGACCAGTGATGAGCCAGATGGCCACAACCTCCAAGGTGTGAAAGAATGTGACACAGAAAGACAGATAGACCAGAGTCTGAGACAGCTACTTTCAGCACCTGGTACTATTTGCTCCCAAACCAGATACATCCCTGCCCATCCAATGGTTAGGTTATCTGAGCCAATAAGTGTTCCTCATGACTCCAGTGAGTTTCTGATTGGGTTTCTGTCCCTTGCAATCAATATCACCCTGACTGATACAGAGCACTTCATCGTGAGTTGTCTCAAGTCTTTTGCAGAAGCCTGCAGAGGAGAAAGAATAAAGTAAGGCCATTCATTTAATAATTTATTTACTTCTCTATTTCACATAACTGGTTTATTTCCAAAGTTTATTTGCAATATGTTGAATGAATATATAGATATTGGCTCCATTAGAAGGCCATCTTGAGCCTGGGCAACATAGGGAGACCCCCCCCTACAAAAAATTTAAAGAAAAAATTAGCTGGGTGTGGTGGCACATGCCTGTAGTCCTAGCTACTCAGGAGGCTGAGGTGGAAAGATTGCTTCAGCTGGGAGGTTGAGGCTGCAATGAGTCATGTTCATGTCACTGCATTCTTGCCCAGGCAAAAAAAAAAAAAAAAGCCCATCTTGAGAAAGTAATATCCAACAACTTCAATTAAATTATTTTGTAAGGTAATTGTGCTTCAACCTTCAACACACTCAACTCCTCTAGGCTCCCCGGCTTCTCTGGAGGCCCATGTAATGATATAGTTCTTGATTGGCATTTTAGTATATATAGAAGTGCAGCTTTTCAGGGATAAAAGGAACATTTGAGGCCATGCAAGTAAACTCATCAGTTTCTGTATGACATACGGAAACCCAGAAATGTTAAGCCATCTGCCCAATATCACAGAGCTCTCCAATACATCCCAAACCTGAATCAGATCCCAAACCTTAATCTAGCTCTTCTGATAGCCAGCTCAGTGACTTTTCCACTGCACCATGCCCCCAAAGCCCTTTTCAGGACAGGCATTAGAAGAGAAATAGACTTTGCTTTTCTTTGTAAAGCCATTGAGGCAGTTCTTCAGTTTCGTTGTAAGGAAAAATGGATCTTGCTCATGCAATGAAAGGTCTTGCAGTTTGAGAGGCTACTGTATGGAAGGACTGCCTAATGAGGGTCCTCAGAGCAGACTGGGCTGTGATAAGACTGGGGTGCAATGCTCGGGAGACAGCATTCTGGGCCTGGCTTAAAAGGGTCCACAAGGGCCCTTAACTTCCCTTAGTTTTCTTACTTTTCTAAGTATACTTTTTTGCTAAGTGAATATAATAATAATAACACCTATTATATTCTACCAATGTCCTACAGTTATAGGAAGGATCAAAAGAAATATGTGTGTAAAAGTACCTGGTAAACAGGGAAGTGAATATTCTGTCATAGTACCAAAAACCTCCTGTTTGGATCATGAGGCAGTCTCAGTGACTGAGACTCTGTTTTGTCTCTTCTAAGAACACTCCATGTCTATTCCAACCTTCCAGCCTTCCCTTGCCTGGAATGCCTTTCCCCTTTTCCTCCATGTCATGAAACCCTCTGCATCCTTTAAACATACTTTCTTTGCTAAAGTGCCTTTCTTGAGGGCTTTGCTCTGAATCCCTTCAGTGGAGTTTGTGGATCACTGTTGCACTCTGCTTTCTCTGGTCATTGCTTTGGACTGTTTCTCACTGGCTAGAATGTAAACCCCTTAAGCCAAGAGCACCATTTTATATACCCTCTCCTCCCAGAGTACATTAAAAAAGCAGTGGGTGCCAGTAGGCAAATGCTTCTTGAGTAGCTTAATAATCCCCAAGACAACTCTTACTTGCTCACAAAAGCCAATTGAGCACACCCCTTGCCAACTTTGGGTTCAGCAATGTCAGACTGATGGCTTGAAATTGGCAGAGCTGAGAGTATTTACACCACAGAAATTGGCAGATGCCACAGATGGTTTTTCTTTTTCCCCTGAGAGCCAGCTATTAGCATGGACCAGCAGCCCATGCACTAAGGCAAATATAACATAGGTCTGCAACAGAGAAGAGAACATAGTTCTTAAAACAGGAGTCACAGCTGGTACAGCTCCACAGGAGAGGGTGGAACAAGCCGTATAAAGGATGCCCACAATCAAATTAGAGTTCCACAAATCAAAGTAAATAGGAAAAAAGCTGCAAGACCTTTCTACTTTAATATCAGTGATCTCATGTTTTTATCAAGAGTATTATTAAAAAGGTGATAGACACGTGGAAATAGGAGAGGTAAGGGTGTTTTATCATTATTGTCAGGGGTATAGAAACAAAAGCTTTAAAATTCTTCAAAATATATTTGAGGGGGAATACAATGGCTTGACAAAGCTTTATAATTACATAATTAATTATGGGGGAAATGTGATTGCAGGGCCTTTGTATTTGAGTCTCACTCAGCATTCATGGCATCGAGAATTTTCTCCACTTTACTATAAAAGGGATTTTGTTCTGAACAAAGAGAAAGAGAGAGCTGATATAACGTCATGCATGGCGCAAATGGCAGCATAAGAAAGCAGAAGGTTGAGGTGACCAGTCAGGGGTGACCAGAAAGAAAGTGGACTGGGATGGGATGATGCACAAACTTTCCTATTAGTTTTTTTTTTTTAAATCCTTTTTCTTAATGTAAATTACCTACTGCATAAAACAGTATAACATTAGAGATTTCTGATTTAAGGAATAGGATTAACATAAATCTTATATTCCACTTACATGAATCAATAACTTTAAAAAAGAGTATTTGCAAAATATCTGCCTGTAATCTCTAGCATCTTCGCTGCTGTGCAGAGCCCCCACCCCTCCAGCCACATAGGAAGCAGGTGGTGTTTCCCGGGCAGGGGAACATGGCGCTGGGGGAGGTGGTGCTCATTTGTCTCTTGATCTTGCCTTTGGTAGTTGCATCCTTAGCGGGAGCTCATGAGACACTTGCCAAGCTTTCACAGAAATCACTCACTCTGTAAAAGAAATGAGAGTAAAGGAGGGGAAAGAAAATTAAGGAAGGCAGAAGCGGACACGGAATAGAAAAACAATAAGAAAGAGGAAATAGAAGGGCCATGGTTTTGAAATACAACGCCTGGAAAACAGAAAATGAAAACAGAATAAAGGAATGAAACTGTAAAAGCTATGAAACAAAGTAATGAGAGAAATAAAGTTTTAACTCTGAAAAAAATATATATGATTTATAACAAATATCAGGAGAGTGACTCAAGAGCATCCTGAAATCTCCTTGATTGTACCAAAGGGAGACCTGGGCTTCTTATGATCACGGCCATCTGTAAAATAAGAATGGTAGCTGTAAATTTTGAAACGACGAAAAATAACCTTGTAGCAGGAATCAAAGGGAAAGTTTGATCTAATATTGGCCAGGATGAGTCAAATACATTGACTTCACTAAAGTGCTCTGCCCTGGTCAGCCGATTTTTCAGATTCTATGAGACCATTAGAATTCCAGCTCTGCTTGGGCATTCTCTCTTTGTAGTGTTGGGACAAAAGCCTTACAAATGTTTGTGTAGAGAAATCAGTGATGTTAAAAAAGCAATCACTTGTATGAAAAATTCCAAAGACAGCACTAACATAAAATGATGAAAATGCCAAAGATATGAAAAATAAAGACAACTGTTACAAGACATAACGGCTCTGAGTGTTTGCTTTTATGTGACAGATGTTTTTAACCAAAGCTCAACACTGGCAGTTTGAGTACACTTCTGATTTTAATTTGTGTTCTATCCCCTTTTCATATTGATGTCTACTCACATCTGCGAAGGCTCTGTAACCTGAATTTGACAGGGGAAAGTGAACAGACTGCTTTTGGAGTGCTTCCATTAAGTCCACGTAACAGACTGTTAACAAAAATCTTAAATAGCTATTCTAATCATCAACAGCAATCTTACACAAATTAAATTAGGCCCAAAGGGCCCGATTAACTTTAAAATGCCTTACAGGCATGAAACATAAATTTAACTTTTTTTCCCCCTTTGGAGTAGAAAGAGCGTTGTTCAGTGTGACTCAGACGCACAGATTAAAAAAAAAAAAAAAAAAAAAGCATGCATGCATGCTGTAAAGACAAGGAGACAGGGTTTCATTTTCTTTTTCAGGAAACCACACTTACAGGCATAGAAATTCAGTTAGGCCACAGCCATGCTCCCTGTTTACATGCAAAGTAGATGCATTAAGGTTGTTAAGGTTTTAAAGTAGTGCATTAAGGTAAGGTTTTTGCTGATGGCACAGCTACTCTAATCAGCTCAAGGAAGTCCTATTGCTAAAGAAAGGAGACATATATCAACATGCATTAACATTAAAATGATGCCATCAGAAGAGGTAAAAGTTGAACCAGAATTTCTGCAGTTCAAACCCACCTATCAAGAAATGGGTTAGATTCATGGTTTAAAGAATAATTATACCACGAGTCAAGGAAAAACACTTTTTTATGTGTCTGCTGTTGTTTATTTTTGCCAGATCTCTAGAGGTCTGTCCAAATATATTTCTTGAATTTTCATTCATCTCATATCCCAGCCAGCAGGTTCATCACTTGTACATTTGCTGTAGTCTCCAATCCTCACATGTGTTTGATAGCTTTTCTTAGGCAACTTCTTTCCAGTTGCATGGAACATGTAATTTCAGCCCAAGTCAATAGCAGTGAACGATAAACCCAGGTGCCAGGGAAAGGCAGCCTCTCAATAGATAGAAAACACCTGAAACTAGTCATCAGCAGCTTCCGGATAAGATCTCAGGAGTTGGGCCAGTGGGTTCAAGCACGCACATTAAGAGGCAAAATGGCAGAGTTTGACTGGTATATGACCTTCTAGGAGCAATCAACTGGTAAGAGAAGAGCGCTTTAAGTAAGCATGCGTACAACTCCAGTAAACACACTGCGCATGCGGCCCCTCCCAAGCACTAGCACACATGTGGTCAGCCCACCCCAAGGGAAGAATCAGAGGAGAAGGGACCCAAGACCCTGGAAGTATGTCAGCACATAAACCTCCAAGTCGAAAGGTCAAACTGTGCACTTGATCTCTCAAGTTGCCTGCTTGGCCCTCTTCCAAGTGTGCTTTACTCCCTTTCATTCCTGTTCTAAAGCTTTTTAATAAACTTTCACCACTGCTCTAAAACTTGCCTCAGTCTCTCACTCTGCCTTATGTCCCTGAGCCAAATTCTTTCTTCTGAGAAGGCAAGAACTGTGGTTGCTGCAGACCTATACAGATTCACCGCCAGTAACACTTTCAGCTCTTCCAAGACTGTTATAGACACCCGTGCTTGTCAACAACCTCCTGCTCTGATGTCCTCAAGCTGAGTTTATTTCATCAGCCAGCAGATGCTCTCTTTTCCCACCAGCCTAGACACCAGTCAGGGTCCTGGAAGGTGTTCACTTTCTGCAAAATATTCATTAGTACTTTAGAGAACCAAAGTAATTATCAGAAAACTACCTATTTTCCAAATACCTCAGAGGAAACTGACCATATCTGGATCACTGGGGATAGAACCTAATTAGTTGAAGCCAATGGCAGTCTTCCACCCTCTGAGATTAGTACAGGGACGGGCACCATAATCCGAGATGAAATAAGCAGAATAAAAGGAAAGACTCATATTTCATGTTACATTGTAAACCAGGAAGTATATATCCCCCATGGCCACTGGCAGCCATATTGTGAGCACAAGGAGAGCCAGTCTTAGGATGAAACTAATGCTGCCCTACCTTTGAAATCCAGTGAGGCAGATAAATGTTCTTATTGCATACACAAGCTTGAGTCAGGTATTTTGATTCCTCATAGGTGAAACTACTTAATTAATTTAAGTGGTCTTATGAGTAATTTGTACTCCAATGTCTCTGAAATGTTCCTAGAATTTAACTGCTAATCCCAGGGACTGGGCCAGAAGAAGCTCTGAGTAGTAAACAATATAACTCAATGTTGTCCTCTTTTTCCAGTGCTAGAGCACTGTGGTTGACCCAAGGGTGTGAGCTCAACTCTTTTAGTGGGTTATTCTCCCAAGAGAATTCTTGGGAGAATTATGCAACTAGACTTTTCCTACCCACCTGACAAATAGGCCCTGTTATGCCCTACAATGTCAAGCTAGGCTCATGCTGGAACTCCCAAAACATGAACAAATGTAGTTTTATAAAGTTTGAGCTGAAAAATGTTGTGGTTTTCTTTTAGTTTATTCAGCTTAATCCCTTCTTTTTAGGTAAACCTACAATGGGGAAATGACTAAGAAACAATAGACTAGACCTAGAGATAGGACAGAGCCCAAGGCTTCAGTTCTGTGCTTGACCTGCTGTCCTGGTACACTGAGGCTGCACACTCATTTCCAGCACCTCTTCTCTATGGCACATGAGCATTATATAAACACTGTATTGGGAATCTGAAATAAAACTGTTAAGAGTCTATAGTTAAGACGTCAGAATTTTTTATTTTTGCCATATTAGGTGTTATTACTGTTATTGGTGTTTTCTGAGAAATAACTAGCTCACAGCGCTCAGATGCAGTGAAAATCTAAAGGACAAACCATTTGGGAAAGAGTTTAAAGCTCCAAGTTAAGGTTCAGCATCAGTTGTCCTACTGATGTTGAGTTTATCTGATTATATTTAGGCTTCTTAAGTGTGTTATAAAATAATCAAGTAGCCAGTTAACAAAACACCCTACATTTTAATATGAAAAAGCATAAATAGCAAGATGAATTTTATTTTATGCAGAATCCATATGAAATAATTGTGAAAGTTGCGGCTAAAGAAGACTTTGAAATGTCATTTTCAATATATCCTTGACCTACTTAAGAACAGACACTTGTTTCTTTTTGCCATCCTCAAATTTAGAATTCTCTGGCTGATTTTTAAAGTATTTTGTAGATCACATCAAGTTAAAAAGCTTCTGCACAGCAAAGAAAACAATCAACAAAATGAAGAGAAAAACCATAGAAATATTTGCAAACTACCCAACTGACAAGGAATTCATAACCAGGAAATGTAAGGCACTCAGACAACTTTATAGGAAAAAAAATCTAATAACCCATTTTAAAAATAGACAAAAGATCTGAATAGACATTTCTCAAAAGAAGACATGCAAATGGCAAATAGGCATATGAAAAGGTGCTCAAAATCATGATCATTAGAGAAATGCAAATCAAAACTGCAATGAGATATCATCTCACCCCAGTTAAAGTGGCTTATATCCAAAACACAGGCAATAACAAATGCTGGCGAGGATATGGAGAAAAGGGAACACTCACACATTGTTGGTGGGAATGTAAATTAGTACAACCACTATGGAGAACAGTTTGGAGGTTCCTCAAAAAAACTATAAATAAAGCTCCCATATGATCCAGCAATCTCACTGCTGAGTATAAACCCAAAAGAAAGGAAATCAGTATATCAAAGAGATATCTGCACTCCCATATTTATTGCAACACAATTCACAGTAGCCAGGATTTGGAAGCAACCTAAGTGTCCATAGACAGATGAATAGATAAAGAAAACGTGGTACATGCACACATTGGAGCATTATTCAACCATAAAAAAGAATGAGATCCTGTCATTTGCAACAACATGGATGGAACCAGAGGTCATTATGTTAAGTGAAATAAGCCAGACACAGAAAGACAAACTTTGCATATTCTCACTTATTTTTGGGAGGTAAAAATTAAAATCACTGAATTCATGGAGATAGAGAGTAGAAGGATGGCTACTAGAGGCTGTGAAGAGTAGTGGTGGAGGTGGCGGGGAGTGGTGATGGTTAATGGGTTAAAAAAAAAAAATAGTTGGAAAGAATGAACAAAACCTAGTATTTGACAGCACAACAGCATGACTGTAGTCAATAATGATTTAATCATATATTTAAAAACAACTGAAAAAGGATGATTGGATTGTTTGTAGCACAAAGGATAAATGCTTGAGGTATTCCATTCACCTTGATGCGATTATTACACATAGAATGCCTGTATCAAAATTTCTCATGTACCCCAT